CAAAAATGAAATAGTCTCACCACCAACTACTGTTAATATTTTGATTTTTTTCCCCCAAGTTTTTTTATTTTGTATAAAATATGAGAAACAGAGAATTTAATTTTACATTGAGCTCACTTCACTTTATATAAGCCAAAAGTTTCATCACATTAATACTTTCCCAAATATGTTATATAAGACCATGATAGTTACTAGGCTGTCCCAGACTTTATTTCCTCTTTTCCTTGTTAGTCCATATTGGGTTTCACTGAGCGCATTTTCAGATCTAAAACTCTGAGTCAATTTTTGCAAAGGCTCTTTCTCTTCTCATGGCTTATTCTGCTCCAAACCTCATCAAAAGTCCTCAATATGTGTTCTTTATGTGTCCCATCATTCCATGGATTTCTTGACACTTTGGAGATGATCTGAATTGAGACTAGAAGTATGATGTTGAGGCCAAACGATGATGATCCATTATCTATTAGTGGTTAGTATTGAGAGGAGAAAAAATGGTAATATACTGACAAATCCAAACTACATACCATGACTATAGGTCCTCCATCTCTGGTCATAAAGCAAAGCCAATAGTTGTACAAACACAGAAAGAACATCATTAAGATCTTACCAGAGCCTGGTAAAGGCCAATCCCTCTGTGACGTAACCATTGAAGCACAGATAAGATATTGAATGTCTTTGTTTCTCCTCTTGTAAATCCCAGCATCTCGGGAGGCTGAGGCAGGAGGATCATGAGTTCAAAGCCAGCCTCAGCAACGTGAGGCATTAAACAACTCAGTGAGACCCCATCTCACTAAACAAAATAGGGATGGGGATGTGGCTCAATGGTTGAGTGCCCCTGAGCTCAATCCACAGTACCCTCACCCCTCAAAATGGCAGCAATATATGCCACACAGTTATGGTAAGGACTAGCAACAATATCAGAAGCACACAGCACAAACCAGGCTCTTAATAACAACTGCCGGTTATATTCTACTTCTCTATTTTTCTTTCTCTAGTATGTTCTAACAGGTGACTTCTCACAGCTATTGTAGACACAAAACAGGATGAACCACATTTTGTGTGAAATAATGACTCGTTCTACAGGGAAAGAGGCAGATCGTGGCAGAAAGAAATGCCACATGAAACTGAGGCTGAGTTTATTTTAATAGACAGCTGTGGCTGAGATTCCAAAGTTATAGGGTAAAAAGTTAAAATCCTGGTTAGATTTCCCTGCCTGCTCCCCACCACACCCCCACTGGCAACATAATTCTTGGTGAGGAAGAAAAAAATAAATCTATAGTTACCATGAAAAGCATTCATGCAAAAATAAAGGCCAGATTCATAAGTAATCTGACTTCTGCATCACTTTTCAAAACAGTATCCTGTTACTAGCTAAAGCAAACAGAGTGGTTTCAACCCCAGGAACTGACAGGCAGTGCAAAAGGGCAGATTGGAAAAGATTAAATATTTGTGCAAAAACCCATGTACCTCCCCTCCCACCTCCCCCAACCCTTTGCAAAGGGCCGCCTTAGTCCCCAATAAAAAAAAAAGGGGGAAGCAGGGGGGAAAGAGATGCCCGGAGCTGAGGGGAAAGCCTTATCTTTCCAAAAGAAAGACTGTTTGGGGTTGGAGGAAACGGAGAAGGGGAGAGAACAGGACAGAGTGGTGGGGGTGGGGTGGGGGGATGGGCCTCACATGTAGGGGGCTCTGGTCACTGCAGGGCTGGTGAGCGCTGAGGCTGCACTTTTGACCTGTGCAGTGGAGCCAGGCCATGTGGCCTCAGGGGCAGACAGAAACAGGTTGACAGGAGCTTTGAAGTTGCCAGGCTGTGATGGCAGAAAGGCCAGAGAGGCACACCCTCAGAGCCCAGAGCTGCAGCCATCCTTTGTAGGCGGAGGAGGAAGAAGGGGAGGAGGGGGAAGAGGAGGAGGGGGCAGGGGAGGAGGGGGAAGCAAGGGGGAGCTGGGGTGGAGGCCAGGGAAGTGGGTAATGTGCACATCAGCAGCCCAAAGGCCTGCCAGTGGGTGCCAAAGAAGTACTTGAGAAAAGGGAGATTTGGGAAAATTGCTAAAAATTGCAGTCTTCACTCTGCTGACAGCCTATCAAAGCTAGTTTCTGCCTCCGAGATATTTTGGTGGCTGCCAGGAACTTAGAATTTAAAAGAGGAAAAATAGAAAAGTGGGGGTGCAGGGGGTGTGGTGGGGGGAGTGAAGACCTCCTACTATAGAGCCGTCCAAGCAGGCAGCAGAGATGGCTGATAAGATAATACTTTGAGGAACTCGGATTTTTCTGTGGACTTTGGAGCCGCTCAGGGCCCACCCTGAAGACTAGCAGGGGTGCTTCATAGAAAACCACCCCCGGGCCCTTTGAACACAGCTCAGATTCAATCCTTTACACATTTGAGGAGGAAGATGGACTCACAGCCTGCAGTCCTGAGGGCAGTTCAGGGAGATGCCAGACCTGTGGTTCTCAGGGCTAGCTGCACAGAACAACTAGTGGGAAGCTTTTCGAAAACTGCTAATGCCTGGCCTAGCTCACTTGATGTAATCAGGCTCCCCGAAGGTGGGACCCTGATGGGGGTGTTTTCTTTCATAATTTCCCAATTAATTCTAAGATGAAGCCAGGGCCATAAACCCTAAGCAAGAGACTTAAAGGGGCCCTTGTGGGGTAAGCATTCATTGGGTCTTGCCCCTGGGAAAAGAGTATCAATATGTCCATCTGTGGCTCAAGCTAAACCCTGAGTTCATAAGAAGTCACTCATTCCTCTTTAAGGCTTAGATCAAATATCAAGGATCTAAGGAGCTGAACCTTGTCAACAAAGCAGAGAGGGAAGGGACAAAAGGAATTTAGGAAACATGCAGCTTTCTACAAATATTTGAATAAGTGTGTGCCAGGCACTATGCTATTCAAATGAACACTGGCCAATGGCAGGTGATTCTGTTCCCTTGGGTTTTCCACATAGACAGGAATAGCAGAAGCTCCCACACTTTGAGGACCATGTGCACAGACAGCTCTAGAACATTTTCCAAAAGGTAAATTCATGATTCTTCAAGCAAATATAAAATGAGCACATGTCAACCATTTTATCCATTCCATTCATTAGTGAGAGAATCAGAAAAGTGTTAAGACCAACTTGGAGAGACTTGAGGAGCTCTGTATTTATAGACAATTTACTAAATGAATGTCTCGGTAAGATAATTGGATTTGCACAAATGCATTCATATCTTATAGGGAAATAAACTACACACTTTGAATGTTTGTTTTTTGTTCTTTGTTTTCTGACAAATTATTGTATCTCTACCAAATAAAAATCTATACCTTACTGCATAACTTCACTAAGTTTAACAAATTTAAACAATAGTAAATAGTGAATCAAGAATGTACCTTTGTCCCCATAAAATATTGAACAGACATGATTGCTGCCCAGTTTTAATCTTATTTCCAAGGTTTTTTTTAAAAATTTTTCTTAATAGTGAATAAAGGTGATGCAATCATAGAAGAAACAGCCCAGTTTCTTGTGGCAGCAGAGAAGAAAGTCTAGAATCTAAACAAACCAACCCAGAAATTCCAGGTGTTGTTGGTTATGCTGACAGCAATGCTAAGAGGTCACCCATACATCACCTGTGGCCACAGGCCCCTTTAAGATCCTGCAAGGACATCATATTCAATCCTTTACTCTGCAAACACTGGAAAACCCAAAGTCTTCTATGGTTTTCAACTTTCCATTATTGTAACCAAATACCTGAGATAGTTAATTTAAAAACAGAAAAGTTTTAAATTGTGCTACAGATTGGATTTAGAGTGTCCCCCAACGACCTATCTGCCAAAATCTTGGTAAACAGTCTATGGCAAAATTGAAAGGTGGTGGAATTTTTACTACTTGAAGCCTAGTGGAAGAAAGTCAGATGATTGGGGGCATGCCCTTGAAGGGGATATTGGAACCTCTGCCTCTCTTTGCTTCCTGGCCACCATGAGGTAAATAGGCCTCCCCACGTGCTCCCACCATGACATTCTGCCTTGCCACAGGCCCAAAGAGCAATGGAGCCAACTGAAACTTCTAAAATCCTGAGCCAAAGTAAATATTTTCTCTTTATACATTGTTTATTTTGTTACAGTTATGGAAGGCTAATTAACAGATTCTGGATCACAGTTTTGGAGATTTCAGTCTGTGACAAATTGGCCCCATTGGTTTGGGCCTATGGTGGCACAGTACATCATGGCACGAGCAGTAGAGAGGAAGCTCATTCACCTCATGGCCAGGCAACTACCAAACCAGTGGTTTTTACTCCTGGCTACTCATTACAATCATCAGAAGAACTTTTTAAAAACGGTGATTCCCAGCTCTATTCACATACTATAAACTCCTAATGTTGGAGGTTGTGATATCAACAACAGTGTTTCCAACAGCTCCCAGGCCATTATCATTTGCTGCCACATTCATGAACTCTGGATACTTTAGCTCTGATATTCTGGACTCTGTTCTTCAGCTGCTCTTGAAGTCATTGATACAGACATTTTTGTAAACTCCCTAATCTTTGGATTATAGAAGCAAAGAAAAGAGAGCATCCATTTTTTATGAAAGAAAATGCTCATTTGATATACATATCATGCATTTCAGGAATCCCACAGCCCCCTCCCACCCTTGAGGAGCCATTATCAATTGATTCTAAATTTAAAATTCCTGATCTCTTTTAAGTAGCATCCCCCAAATATTGAGATTCCTTACGTGTGGCCCTGTGCTAAGAGCTGCATAAAGTGATTTCAGTGGACGCCTCTCCTCTCTCTCCCTCTCTCTCTCTCTCTCTCTCTCTCTGGAAGTCAGAGATATAAGCCAACAAGATGGTGTGATGTTCCAGCAACTAAACTGCTTTTGAATTTCAGAGTTTGTTCCTCCTTACCTTCAGTCAATGCTTCCCAATCCTGACACCCAAAGGGCTCATCTGGGGACTTATAGTAAACGCTTGTGCCTGGGCCCCACCCTTAGAGATCCTTATTTACGTAATCAGTAGTGAACACAGGCATTTTTTTTTTTTAAGCAACCCAGTGTCTGTTCAGGGTTGAGACCCACTGTCGTCTGATACTGCTAGGGAAGCATGATTGAGCTCCCCCAAGACACCATCCCTGCTACACAGGTGAGTTGACTCAAGGGCACTTGCTAATCACTCCCAGATGTAGGCTAGACTAAATGGGGTGGTTTTATAAGCTCCTTAAAGTTTAATAATCCAAATTATAGAGTGCTTTTAGCAAAATGTAACAGGAAGAGTACCAGCCAGGGAATGAAAAATGTAGGTTCAGGGTCATGGTCACACTAACAACTATGTGGCCTTGGCCAAGCCTCCCACTCCCTAAAGCCTGCCTCTTCTACCAGAGGTCAAGTGCACAGCCTGCTGGATTAGGCAGACCTTAGTTCAAACCCCATCTCTCTGAAGTGCAGCCACTAACTTAATCCATCTTGGACTCAGTTTATCTTCAAATAGTATAGTGATATCATCTCATAGGATTGTCATGAGTACTAAAGTTCCTAGCACAAAATCTAGTGCCTAGCAAGTGGTCAGTAAGTTTTCACTGATATTATTAGGATTCAGCCCAGCAAATCTCACTGAGTCATTGTGAGGACACACGGTTTCATATATTCAGCCTTGAGTTAACCAGAAAATACAATAATTTGGAGGTACTATTATTGGCTGAAGCTAATTCCAGAGCTCCTGGGAAGAGAAGTCTCTTTCTGCCCCCTTAATACTTACAGAAAGTTCCTCCGAGACCAAAGTTGAAAAAAGTTCTGGAGACGTCCCATCCCAGTGAGATCAAGGACCAGCGGCAGGTTGGCCGTGCAGTCTTGTGATGGTTTATAGCTGCTTTCTCATATGAGGCTGAGTAAAAGCCAGGTTCTTGGAGCCTGAGGAATGCCTGGGCTCAAAAGCAACATCAGTGATTGGATTGAATTAGTCTCATGAGAATAAAAAAGCAAATCAGGTGTGCACTATATCATTTGGATATTTTTAAATGTTCTTGCACTGCAGTGGGGATTACACAATGTGACAGGTCTGATATATTTAGCTCTGAAACTGCAGAAATTTTCAAACTTTTCTCTTTTGTGTCTTTCCTATGAACACTGCCAAATGCACTCTGAAAAAGCAACTGAGCTTCCAAAATTTCTAGCTGTCACTGAATAGGAAATTTTGGATCATGTAGCTCCCTGAGCTGATATAAACAAATTTGTCCATTTTTTAGGACACTGATATCATCCACTCATGAAATTTTGTTATCTTTAGTGGCATAGCATAGTTTGTGCATACAAACGCAAGCATTCAAGTAGTAGCAGAGAGACAAGGATTTGAAGAAAGAAAATAATAGAGAAAGGGAGAGAAACATCAACTAAATTCTCGAAAACATACCACTATGCTGGGAGCAGTGGTGCACACCTGTAATCCCAATGAGTCGGGAGGGTGAGGCAAGAGGATTACAAGTTCACAGCCAGTATCAACATCTTAGAGAGGCCCTGTCTCAAAATAAAAACTAAAATGGGCAGGGATGTTGCTCAGTGGTTAAGCACCCTGGCTTCAATCCCTGGTACCAAAAGAAAAAATAAATAAATAAAAACTATCTTGCTACACTATTTGAAACCCTTGCATCAGTTGAACAATCAAAATGTTCCACACGTCAGACTCTTGGGGCATTTCAAATTAACTAATGACATAATGATAACACTCAATAAATGTCCCTATATGTTGGAGACATAGCTGAGGACTTTCCATATATCAACTAACTGAATACTTTAACAATCCTTTGAAATTAATAGTGTTTCCATTGTACAAATGAGAAAATTAAAGCTGAGTTTAATGAATTTGCCCGAGGTCACACAAGTTCTGTAAATCCATTTAAGTACATCTAAATCTTTCTGACACTAAACCCCAACTACACTGGCTGTACTCTACTAGCTGAGAATAACATATCCAAAACCCATTTTACCCAATATTTAATCTCCCAGTCCCAAGAAAATATTAACAGATCCCAACGTAAGAACTCTGTCCTCCTCTCCAGGACCCCAGCCTCCTTATTTCAGAGAGTAAAGAGCAAAAACTAAACACAAGACAGGCGACAGAAAGAAGGGATCCGTGAAGAAATCTGAATTGATGAACAGACAATTGTTCAAAGTAACTTCAGTTGAATTCACAGAGTTTTCAGAAAGTTTAGAAACTTAAAATCTCTGTTCAATTACAAAATCATATATTGGTTAGGCAATTTTCACACCAAGTAAAAGACAGAAATTTCTCAACTGAATTCCCAGCTTCCATACCAGCCGATCTGCCAACTTCAAAAACCCTATCACAGCCATGAGCTGTATGCCTATGTACCAAGTTGATTTCTAACCTGTCTTACTGATGGGCCACATAATATTTTAAACTCTAGAGAAGTCTGAAACTGAGTTGTAAAAAGGCCAAAGAGAGAGGAGGAGAGAGGGAGAGTAATTCTGACTCAGTCACCAAGTGAGACCACCAAAAAGAGACACACACATGAGGCCAGGAGCATGTCATCTATAGCAGCCCTGAAGCTTTTAAAATTCTATGTGGAAGGAATCAATTGCATTTGTGTGTTTTGCGTGTGTGCACACATGCACGCGAGCATACACACACACACACACACACACACACACACACACAAGTCCAAACTGGAGATTTCCTACTAGCCAAAAACAGAGCCACTCCCTCCTCACGACTCAGTGACCCCCAGTGCCAAAAGCTGTTTAGCATGTGAGTAACATCCTGCAATTGACCATTCGATCCACATTTTCCTGTGAGTTAATAATATGACCTCTCCAGAGGTCTTGTTATGAGTACTAAAACTGTCTGTTAACTCTCTTATGGACTGCTGGGATCGGTATTTAATCTTCAATAGGAATTTCAGAAGGTCAACGTCCCCATCTGTGAGGAATGCCTTGCAAGTAATGAAATAAGGCAGGCAGGTTCACCCCAAGGAGGTGGAAGTCTTTAAGAGTGGATGACCAAAGGCCTCTAGACCAATAATCATGTGGGACCTGGGGTGGAGGGAACAGGGGAGAAAATTATCTCAGGGAGAGAGATTCTTAAATCAGTGGGGAAAAGGGAAAACATAAGAGATGTGGAGTGTCGAGCTACTGGGACATTTGGTTTCGGTTCACTGCACAAGCAATGGTTTAGGCTCTCATTATTGATATTACATGTGCATGCTCATTGTGTTTCAAGGGCACTCAGAGCAAAAAAAGTAGTAAAAATCTAGTGGAGCAAGTATGTGATGGAATTAAAGCTAGAACTTATCAGTGTATGGAAAAAAAAAATTAACCCAAATTATTTGCAGGTCCTGGTTTGTCCGAAGCCTCTGGTTTCCCATACCCACAAGGAGTGCTCCATGAAATGTCAGCTTTCTCATCTCAAAGTCAAGAGCATCCTAAGCCCACACAAACCACACAGCTCAATGGCTTCTCTCTAATTTCCACATCTATATTTATCTGACTGTTGATTTAGCCCAATCATCCTTGATAGCACCATACAGAGGGATGCATCTTCACATCCGCTCCCCCACCCCCCCTCGCCGGTCAACTGGCCATGAGAGAATGTTCACACAGATGTGAGGGCACAGGCACATTCATTTCTCTCAAATTTCAGTTTGGGAATCTCCATTCCAATATAGTCATACAAATAGTTTTCTTCTTCGAAATCACTTATAGATTATACAGCTTACTACCCATAAGTAATATCTAGGCTTTTCCTTACCAAAAGGCTATTGGGGAAATTGCATGTTTATCCATTGTCATATTTCATGCAGGATAATGTATAAAGAGATTGTCATATTTCTTCATACATTATGTCCAGTTTTCAGAGAGCTCAACCTACCTATGAGGAAGTGATACACACCAAGGAAGTTATACACACGGAGGATCCCAAGAAGTCCCCACAAGATAGTAAAGAGCAGAACCGGAACTTGAATTCATGTGTCCATTTGACTTTGAAGCCCACACACGTCACTGTGGGCCACACTGCGTCTGTAGACAGGATTGTTGTCTACCTGGACCTCATGAATGGTATAAAACATCCACCCTGTACCCTTTTCATTTTTCTAGTCTTACTTATCTACGCTTCATCTCAAAGATCTGATGTGATGTCAAGAAAGAACCATCCCTGAATATTTTCTAACGGTTGTTTAGAGGATGTAGCATCAATGTGATTTATCCTGGAGTTAAAGTGGTTTGTTTTCTAGCATCAGTATCAAGCGATGATTTGACACAGAAATTATCATAATATTCATCAGGGAAGCAGTCAGGACCTGAAACTGGAAGCTGCCATTCCACCAGCATGCTTTGCCACCCTGAAGAGTGACACCAAGAGCAGAAGAAACGCCCCAGAGTGAAGGACTCCAGTGTGTCTGGGTGAGCTGCCATGTGTATGATCTGTGTCCCCTCCCCCAGAATTGTCTCTGCAGAAGTTCACCAGCACCTTCTACCTGCTACAGCAAATGAGTCCCACATTTTGGCCTTCCAGCCTCCTCCAGTCTTTGCAAAACCCCTTGACTTCTCAATTGTGAGTTCGTCTTGTTTTTATACCTTTACTTTATTTATTTATTTTTTTGTGGTACTGAGGATCAAACCCAGTGCCTCACATATGCTAGGCAAGTGCTCTGCCACTGAGCCCCAGCCCCAGCCCCCTGGATCAGTGTTGCTTGGCTGTATAACCACCACTTGAGAGAAAATTAATTTTACATGCAATGCATTCACATTTATTTGAAATAGATGTTAACAGAATATTAATGAAATGAACATTGAATTTCAGAATCAGAAGACTTGGGCTTAAGATCTGTATTCATTCACCTATTAGTTGCATGATGGAAATTTATTAACCTCTACCATTGAGGAATCTGTGAAGTAATATAATAATACCTACTCCAGAGTATTATTCTTGGAGATAAATGAACCAATGCGCATAAAGTTTTTGCCTGATACCCAGTAATGCCTGATACCAGTAAAAATTCAAAATGTATTGTATTTCTTTCTGGTCTTTCATGGGGTAGAAAAAAATAACACACCCAAACCTCAGCCTGCTTATTGGTAAAACCAAGAATTCAGATATAAAAAGAAAGGTAAGCTCTATACAGAGGACTGGTTCCAAATTTCTATCTGTTTTTATATTTGTAAGCTACATCTAATGTATATTAACAACTTCAGGGAGAATTCATATTTTTTATGAAAGAAGAGAACATTCCTAGCACATTTAAGGCTGATCTCTCAACAAATCATGGAAACATTTTCTCCCTTCATGATTGCTAAGAGCCATCAATAACTCCTGCAGGGAAGGTGGTCTAGGACAAAGAGAGACCTGAACCATGTTCCTTCTTCTTCTAGATCACTGAGCAAGAGACAGAAAGGGAAAGAAAATGGGGGAAAATAGTATTTATTTCCCTGAATCATTTCTTAAGGTGCTAACAAAATGAGGGGTGGGAGTAGGGGAGAGGGAAGGGGTCGGGGGTCTGACTCCTTTACATCTGAGGATCTGATCTCAGAATGTAGCATCTGTTTCTGCATTTTCAAAATGCTCACCAACTATTAAACCTCCAGATGGGACTGCTACAATGTGGATTCTTGCAGTTCACTCAAGATCATTAACATTTTTTAGCAAGTTAAAACTGTGACTTCCGAAAGATAGGTCCACCCACCACCTCAGAATGGAATCATATTTAGAATCAAGATCTTTGCTGATGTAATTAAAGTAAGGATCTCATATAAGGATCTGGGCTAAGTGATCCTGGTATAACATCATTTTGGATTAGAGTGGGCTCTGACTCCTAATGACAACTATACTCTAAGAGACAGAGAAGACAGAGACCCTGAGAGAAGATGTCATACAAAACAGAAGCTGATATTGGAGCTATATATCCTCACACTAGGAAACACCAAGGACTGCCAGCAGAATCTAGAGAAAGTCATACAGTGTATTGTCCCCCAGATCTTCTAGATGGCACCAACCTGCCAGGACCTAGATTTAACATGCCTGTAATCCCAGCTGCTTGAGAAGTTGATGCAGGAGACTCTCAAATTTAAAGCCAACCTCTGCAACTTAGCGAGGCCCTAAAAAATGTAGCAGGACTCTGTCTCAAAATTAAAAAAGATTGTAGTCTTATAAAACTCTTAAAGGATACATGTCCATTGTCTGAATCCACCAAATTTATGGCTGTTTGTGACAGCAGTCTCAGGAAACCAATACGCTTGCCTTCACAAGAAACCAGATAATGAATCTGCTACAACCCCAATGATGAGGGAAAAGACTGCGATGGTTATGCATGGATATCAGTGTGACTAGATTGAAAGATGCCGAGAAAATTGGTGAAGCACATTTCTGGATGTGTCTACGAGTGTGTTTCAGAGAAAATGAGCACATGAGTCAGCCAACTGAGTGGGAAGACCTACCCTGACTATGGGCAGCACTGACCAATAGTCTAAGGGACCAGATGGAAACAAACAGTGAAAACAGGGAGACAGTCATACATGTACTCAGTCCTTCTTGATTGGGTACATTTTGCTGTTGCTGCTCAGGAACATCAGACCCTAGTTCCTAAGCCTTTGAACACACACTAGTGACTCCCCCAGAAGCTTCCAGGCCCTTCTAAATGGGGCTGTATCATTTTCCTCTATCTTTCCCGAGACTCCAGCTTCTTGAACTGAGTACTTACCCATTTCCCTTGCTCTCCAACCTACAGCCAGCCATGATAGGACTATTTAACTTCTGATCTTGTGAGTCCATCTAATAAACCCCTCATATATAGTCTATTGTTTCTGTTTCTCTCAAAAATCTTGGCTAATAATATAAGTATAAATGTTTATTGGCTGTTCTTTTGATACAGAAACTAAGACACAAATAGATAGTTATCTCTGCCTCAGTGATAAGTCAATGACGAGGATAAGTCTCCTGATCCCATCCCAGGGTTCTTCACAGAGGACTGAGATGCATCCTATGTGGAAAAAGCAACTCCTGAAAATAGTTAAAGCCATATAGTTTCATTAATAAACAGACATTGACTATGAAATTTCCAGTGTGCCAAGACTTTAGATCTTATCGCACTGTCTCCAATTGGTTTTGGATGAAGTCATCTATAAATGGAAACACCTACATCTCCTACATCCTGCATTCCCACGTCACCCAAAGTTTTAGCCTTTGTTTGCAGGACGTAGAAACTTACTAGACCGCAGCAATAAAAGGCAGGAACTGGGTCTTTTCTTTCCTGTTGCATACCACACACTCACATAGGGCTTAAAAGGAAACAGTTAAGTGAGAGAGGCCACCCTGTCTAAACCTAGCTTGACAGGGTATATGGCTGACCAGATTTGGGGGTCCTCAGTGGAAGACCACAAGGAAAATTGCTGAGAACCACACAGATGGCTCCCCAACCTCAGCTCCATCTATCAGAACCTTCTTCAGTTGGGTACATACCACACCTCATCCCACAGTGAAATGCTGACTGATGAATCCCTGAGTCACCTCCCTTTTGTGAGCCCACAAGCCAAAGAGTAATGTGGTGTTTCCAGCCTGATAACCTATAAGTTTACTCTGTTCTACCCTCAGCCAGAAAGCACATTGCCACATGAAGTGAGTGTGATATTGTGGAAAAACATTGAATCCATCTGGTTTCTCAGCTGAGTGATTTCTAACTCAAAGTACTCTTTTCCTTGTAGGTTTGGTTCTTGGAACAAAACTTCTGACAAGTCTTGCCAGCGAATCCTGAGACTATGGTTGTCAGCTCTGACACGTAGACAGTGGCTGCACTCTGTTTCTGAGATGAGGGTCTCCGGCCATTTCAAATAAATAATTTCAATTTCCAATGCTGTTGTCTGAAGGGTTAGACACAGGCTGAGGGAACTCTGGTACAAAGGTATACCTGGGACAGACTCCACAGGTCAGGAGAGGCAACTCCAACAGGCACAGCCTATCCAAGTTAGGAAAACCAACCCAGATGCACCGCTATAGAGAAGCCGGGCAAAAATCAGCCTGTTCCAGGGGACATTCTGATTAAACCCAAGGGATCTGCAATCTTCTGGGGGATCAGGAAGCTCCCGTGGTCAAAAGAATCATGCTAAAAGCTCCAGGACTTGGATTTAAATTCTGCTTAGACAAATGGGAAACCACCCCCATTCTAAACCACAGCTTAAGTGGGCCAGAAAATTAAGTGTGTTCTGAGAAGAGGAATAAAGACATGTCTCTGGGTCAAGGGATTTAAGTACACTGTAGAGGCATAACATGGCAGCAAAGATCTTCATGAACAAGAGGTTCTTGCCCTTCTGCCGAGTCTGTAAAAGTTCCACAGCTCTGTGGGCCTTGCCTGTCAAAGGCAGAAATGAATGACAGTGACCCAGTACAGCGTGTCAATCAATCAGCACACCTTTATTCACTGCCTGCAGCATGAGAAGACACACCTTCGCTTTCCAAGTCTGTAATGACAGGCAGTGTCATCCCCATGCCTCTCTTCCCATCACCAACTCCCTTCTTTCATCTCCAACTATTGAAATTCTACCTAACCTTCAAGGTCATGGCAAAGGCAGTCTCTTTTGTGAAGTTGCTTTTGATTCCATCTCTAGCCCCATCTTCACAAATACTATTGTTCCTCTCTTGGAGCCTCTCAGGGCACTTAGTTTTTGCCTCTATAATGAAACATCACCATCTTCTTTGAGGAAGTTATTGTCAAGAGTCAAATTCCCAACCAGGTTGTAAACTCTGTGCTCATTGGGATGCTGTAATGTGCAGCATGGCCCTGCATAGAATAGAGATCCAAATGCATTTAATGGTAAGTGCATGTATATTAATAGTTGAAACTTGGGGATGAGGAAGAAAAATGTTCAAGAATAATCCTTGCCCTCCTAGAATATTTTTTAAAGGAGAAACACACACACACACACACACACACACACACACACACACACACACACACACCTAAAAAGACAAAGCAGTAATAGGGAAGTTATAAATACAAAAAATTTCTTAGGATATTAATAGCCAGATTCTGCTTTGGCAGTCAAAGATGAAAAATCCCTCAAAGAGCTTAAAAAGAAATAGGAAGAATCAAATGCAAC